CTATGTAATGATAGCCAAGTTGTATACTTATCGCCTTGTAGGACATACCAGCGGAATTCATGCCAATAATTTGCCATCTCTGCGCCTCTGATATCCGTCTTCTTGCCATTCTTACTTAAAATGATTTTGCATTCAGAAAATCGGGACTTAAATACGGATTTCATGCACGAGAAAATAGTGCATATTGGACGTGAAGAAGGGAGCAAGTTGCACGTGGGGAAAAAAACGCGCCTGATTTAAATGTCACACCTGAACGCTCACATCCTTTTAATTATGTTTGAAATTATGAACATTGCTCAACATCATAAAAATTAAACCTTATTTTCAATAAGCAATCCTGAAAAATATTTGGGGGTGCTTAACTTTTTTCCAGGTGAATATAATGCAGGTGTCATATTTAGTTACTTTTAGAAACGGATATTGTATGGTAAGTTTTTTATGCATGTGCTTATGAATCATACATTGTGTAGTTCAATTGTTATGAATTAGCGATTTTTTTACAATAGTGAGATTATTGCATCATGTTGCTAGTACTTTCTGAGTGTCTCATTGGTTTAATTGACAGAAAGTCTTCATGATGTATTGTAGCAAAAGGTTAAAACAAAAAAAAACAAAAATTCTGGTAAATCTTATGAGAAAAACATATCTTCATGAAAAGAAGTAGTGCCAAGAAAAGAATGAGAGCCTTTGTCAAAAGTGAGTGCAAATGGAAAATGTGCCACCCTATTAATGGTGGAGGGCTACAGTCTACTGATGATTATATCATAGGTTACATGACACATGTAAAGGTGGGAGCTATGTTCAAGGCTTTTGGTATGTGTAGGAATTTACATGGCAGTTTACTGAAGATAATATCTCTTTGTGGTGCAGAGAGGTGAGTGGCATTTCTGAATTACTTGGTTGTGTAATCATATTCACTTACATTAAGGATATGGCTATGTAAAAAATAATTATGATTGAATATACAAAATGTTTACCTGACTCGATAACTTTTTATCATGAGGATATTTACACTAAACCCAGTTTGGTATAATATTAAGTCAATATATAAATTTATAGTAGAATTTTTAGAAATAATTTTCTAATGTATAAATACAAAATTTTATTGAACTTTTCGGCATACTTTGAAATACATAGTATATTTTATCAAAATTTTACCCAGTACTAATTATAGCAACATAATGTCTTTACAGGTAGCCATTTTAAAAAATATAATTAGTTGCATTTAAAAAAATTATATTATTAATCGTATTTTTGCTCTAGATTAATCAAATTAAACATCAGCTTAATATACTTTAGCTCATTTTGAAAGTTTTTAGAATAGCTCATTGTACAACAAGCTATGCAAAAGTTTTTGTGTATAATTTGCTTTACACAATGAGAATATACCAATATGAAAATCAGAAAGTACAAAAATTAACAAAGTATATATACTAAACCAGTAGTAATCCATTAATAAAATTCATAGTTGTTTAAAGGTTTTTATGAACATTTACAACAATGGGATTTACTTTGTAGATTTTATTTATCCATCAGTAACGGTATGTCCAATAACTTCATGTAACAACCAAACACAAACACATTCATATTAAAATTCCTCTAATTGTATTAAATATTTAAAATTAGTGTACTGATAATAACTAAAACCCTCTGAATATGGTTAAAGCTAATCACTTGTAACAAAAAAATCACCTTTTTCTCAACCAAGGAAGGTAGCGATAACAGTCTGTAACAGTGGTAGTGAAAAACATTCCAGCCCTAAAAGAAATTTCAGCAAAAACACTTGCATATTATTTCCATCCATTTCGAGATTTTAGAAATCACTAAGACATTTTTCAAACAGATGAGTAAGTATGCCTTCATAAATTTGTTAAGTATTACCAGAAAAAGAGTTTGCACCTTTCACATAATTTCTTAGTATCTTTAAAAACATTCTTTTGGAGGGAACATTAATTTGAAATAGACATTGAATAAATCACCCAAACTTATTTCAAAATATCAACAAACACTTTATTATATGGCATGTTTATATAATGTTCTAAGATATGCATAACCTCCACTTTATACAGAATAAGTACTGTCACATAAAGTTAGTTCTCTCACATAATATTTTAAAAAATCTTATTCCCAAATGTTTGTATGGCATGATTTTACACAGACACACAAACAAAACAGTTTCTATATGAAAATTTGACTAGAGAAATTGCAAACAGTGTATTGTAGTGTTATATGTTCAATACAAAGATTGAAATCAAATGACTACATTTTATCTATAACAAGTTAATAAGTATCATCTCTTATTATTTACATAAACAAACTGCAAATTTTCCATGGTCTCTACATCTAATTGTATCTAATGATCTTAATAAATTAAACAGCAAATTTCTACTGTAATTTCTTCCTTTTACAACAAATACTAATTAGTTATTCAATTTGGTAAAACACTATGCATACACTTACTTCAGTTCAGGTGGAAAAAGTTTGTGTTCTTGATCAGTTGCTGGCCGGAGTAATGGCAACAACTCCTCCAATACTTCATTCTTAATAGTTAAAAATGGAAACATTAATGATAAAAAAATGTGTATTTTCTTACACTGAAAATTTATATCAGACAGGTACCTACCACTTCTCACAAAAAGCTATCTCAATCTTTTTTCTACCTTCTAAACATGGCTAAAACACTTTCATGCTCAGCACACCAGTCTGTGTACTCCATCAATTTTCCACCATTTTTGAACATGTACATATTATTTGAATACTCTCCACCAATAGTATTGCACCACCTATATTGGCACAGCTAGCACCCTCTGCTATTCCCACTCAATCCACACTTTAGAATTGGCAGGCTCAAAAGAAAGAACACTTACAGTGGAGAAGGGTGGGAAGTGTGAGAGAAGAGGTAAGTACCTGCAGAAATCCCCTTCTACTTTCCTCATGAAGTCATGAGTGATGGTCCGCAATTGAGTTAAACTGACAGATATCTAGAGACACATAAGTATATACTGCTAGGCATGCCACCAGTAGTCTTGTGGAACACCCCATCTCTACAGTGAGCATTATATTGCAATCAGCAAATAATGCAGGTTTGAGGTAAAGCATACCTGATCAGGCAACAACTACTGCAGAGTGGAAGCCCATTATCTGTGTTAAAAATGAGGGTTACTGAAAATAAAAGTATAAATGAAAGGAAGTGATAAGATTTACCCCAATCAATGATGAAAGAACGTGTAAAATTGCCATATGAGGGAGATAATATACACCTGAGGAAGATACAGCCAGATCTTGCAGATAATGAGCAATAAAGATATTGGGAATACTCCACATTCCAATCTGAATGATCTCCTCCTAAGGACAGCGATGGCAAGCAGCCAAAGACATGGTTATATGACGAATTTGAAGAGAAGAAATGTTGTGGAAATGACAATCTTTCATGGATAAGTCTGAATATGCTAGCCTAACAAGTTGACAAACCCAACCAGTTAGCTTGACACGGGATAGATCATGGGAAATGGAAGGGTTTCAGGGAATAAAAGTCATGAACGTGAAGCCCAAAAGAAGGCAGTAAATGCCACATAACACCATGAGGAGTGAACTGGACAAAGTAACTGATCAGGATTGGAATAAGAGTACGGGTGGGAGATGGAAGGTAAGGAAATGGGTGTGAAAGCCACACTACCTTCACAGGCAGCATAGGTTTTAGGAAGGAAGGACTGGTCTGGATATCTATTGACACGAGGAATGGTATAGGATATGAGTAATGTAAATGGCATAAATATCTGATCAATGGCATCCGCAAGTAAGGAGAAGGAAATAGGTCTTGAGGGAGAGATGGTACAAAAAACACATGGACAAAGGTTCAAAGGGAGGACAGGAAAGGGCATAAAGGACCACATTGAGGTCCCAATCAGGCAAATCAATGAAACGTGGAGGATGCATGACTCAAAAGGAGGGAAATGACAGGGGAAGACAAAACTTTATGAAACTTGGCGAAATAAAAGTTGTTCAACAAGACTGCCCAATAGCCAGACACATTCAAAGTGGACAAGCCTTTGTCAAAGAACCAGGTGAAGAATTGGGAAAGACTAGGAATGGAATGGTGGGTAGGATGGAAACCTCGTTGAGAAATGGACATGGATGATGATCTGATGGATCGGGAAGGGAAAGATGCAACAAGTGGAATCAGTCCCTAGGCTGAGGTAATGGACCTGACAAAAGCCATGCTTGAAGATGGAGTGTGGTGACATCTGTATGAACAATGTCTGACCGAGGTTTATGGAGTATAGACTAAGCCTGAGGTAAGGTAGGGGAGGCTGTACAAGTAAATGTTGGAGCAGCAGAACCATGGTTGCATTGGCCAATATAGAGCCACGAGTAGAACTAGACACATTGTGGTTTGGATTAGGGACAGAACTCTGAAGAGGAATTGAATAGGAGGACAAGCATCGATATTAGGTGTTCCCAGCTGAGAATACATCCACTGAAAGACATTTTAATTGAGGGATCACTCCATGGGGAGAATCTTGTTTGGTCGAGATAAACGATCCACAACCAGATTCAGGTTGAGAACATGGCAAGGTAAGACAACCAGGTGATAATTGTAGGGCCAGAAAAGGAGACCAAGGGTCTGAAAGCACAGAGACCTGGATTTGGTAACCCTTTCTTGGTGTTATAAGTGACCACTGAAGAGTTGTGGAAGTGTAGCATAACTACCCTCCCCCCACATACCTAGATGACAAAGTACGTAATAATAACGAATGTGTAAACTGAATAAAATTACCTAGAAAACAAGTAAAAATCAATATCTAACTTACAATAAACTTAAGTTAACTTGGATGACAAAGGACACAAATATCTAATTTACCAAAGTCTGAGCATTAATGACGTGAAATACTTAATTTCTCCAGTGTGTAAAAAAGGACAAAGCCACTCAAAGGATATTGCAACCAGGTAGGAAGTTTACAAGGCGAAAAACATACCACCAATCTACAGGGAGATCTGGAAACCATAGAAAGAAAGGTTGAAAAGAACAAACCTCCACCAAAGTGAATGACGTTGAGGCATGGCAACAGGAGCGGGGGAAAAAAAAACTAGCAAAATCACCCTTGTCTAGAACATACAGAAAAAACTGAATATGCATCGACTATCGACCCGAATAACCAATTCTAAAAAAAGAATGCGGAAGGTGAAATATCCTGAAGAGGTATAGAGTATGACAGACCAAAATAAGAAGGTCTAAGAAGAAATTAGTCTAAATTGTTTTGTCCTTGATTGTATTCACCCTCAGCAACATTGTCAGGTTAAAAAGGAGAAGAAATCACTGGCCAAAGATATGAATCTAGCTCCCTGCTAATTAAAGCATGCACCTCCTCTTCTGATAAAGTTGAACCCGATTCCTGGGAAGTCGTATCAGTAGTGTTGTCGGCTGTAACACGAACTACCATAGTCGATACATTGAATCGCTAATTTATATGAAATTGCATAATTCGGTAACAAGAAACAAATGCAAAATATACGTGTATATATATATATATCTCATTGAAACAATTGAATGTAAACACAGTAAAAGAAAACTGTTAGAAAAAAAATTCAAATGGCATATAAGCACAATGATAAACGGTAGTCACATGCAAAAAACCACATGTCTAAATAAAGCTATGCCAAATGAGAAAGTGGGGATTGAGCGGGAATAGCAGATAAAGCTAGCTGCACCAATATTGGTGGCACAATACTATTGGTGGAGAGTAGTCACATGATCAAAATTGGCGTGGAATTGATAGGGTATATAGACTGGTGCAGTGAGCACGAAAATTGTGTGCTCAACCACTTAGTGGATTTTCTCGGGGCATCCCCCCCCCCCCACAGCTAATTTCTCAGTATAAGATACATATATCAGCGCCATTCTGATAAAGCGCTGTTTGCTTCTTTCTCTCTTTTAACGGCAAAGCCTAGATAGTTGATACTTCCACCTCCTTAAAAAGGGCAGTATTTACTTTGTGTTCCTTGCCTCGACGTCATAACCTCTACAATTATATTAATGTTCCTCCAAAATTCATTTCAATCATTATCCTGTAAATCAAAAACAAATACCTTACCAAAGTCTGACAGTTAAAAATCAACATTATCTTGATAATTTACCTTTATGAACATCATCTTTATCATATAACAACTGAGACATAGATCTGTAACCAAAATTATGCTTTGCAAAGATAAAGGAAGAAAAATTAGGTTTTTATAAGCTTCAGATTACCTGGATTATTCTGATATAACTGACTTGTAACTTTAGCCACTCTGGCAGTTGAAAAAAAGCAATTTAGTTGCTTCTAAATGTACTCTGGGGGTCAGTCTGAAGCTTCATATATTAACATATTTTTAATTTTAAGATAGCTGTATACATACATCTATCTTACAATAAAAACTATGGAGGATATCTAACTTTGAAATAATCTTGAATTTTATGCAAAGCTAGAGACCAAGGGCTAAGCTTTCACCAACTTTAGTTTATATCACCCTATCAAATCCATGAAATATAATAAATATAATATAATATAATAAAAGATTTGACAAACAGTGGTAACCATTTTACTTTTCTATCTTGAATTTTTTACTTTACTAATAGAATCTAGTGTAAGTTATTTAGTAAATCTTGAAAGACTGTAGCAGAAAGTGATAACAAAAAATAACTACATGCCTTAATGCCTACTAAGCAATTATTTCTAAAGCTAGTAAGAGATATTTCCTCTGTAAGAGATAAATATTGAGTATTCACTGAATATAAGAATTGTGTATTTACAAACAACATTGTAATGCTGTCACAGTACTTGACATGAGCAAGGGTTTATCTTGTAGATATTATCAATAAACAAATCATAAGTAATGATTAATTTATCTGGTGGATTGCCTTTAACAATAATATTTAGCTATGGTTGCTAATGGATATTGAAAACTACTGACAGAAATATAAAATCTGCGTGGTTGGTATTGTGATATAAAATACTGTCTAAAAGTTTGGAAAAGTACTTAAATTTTATACTTAGGGAAGGTTATGAGCACTGATAATATTGTTACAAGGGTCTGCTATGTGTGCTTAGCATTTTGCACTTAGCTGTTGGGACTTTCACGATGGGGGTTGGTAGGCATCCCTCAACACCAACCACTACTGGTTTCCCCGAGGCTGACTTATTGGTAGAATTCTTCTTATACTGGCTCCTCATATGTCCTTGATCTCCACAGTTCCAACAACCTTTCTGGGTAGCAGCCTTTCCTGCCGTGGCATCTTCCCTGTGTTGAAGTTGCCGGCATTGAGTTCTCTTGTGCCCATGTTTGTTACAGTGCCAGCAAAGTCCCTCAAACTTCTCTGAAAGCTGCCCTTTTCTGGCCTTGAATCCTGATGACTGTACCAACCTTGGTACCCCTGTGCTAGACTTAATGTAGGATTCAAATTTGAGAGCCCTGGCCATTGCATCCTGCATGGTAGAGGGGTGTGCTTGCATCACTTGTATCTTAAGTTGTGGACTGTCCAAGGCATCTACAAACTGATCCCTCAGCAACAACTTGAGAACATTGGGTGGTGCAGTTGAGTAGGCCTTGTGTGCCATACTTTCCAAATCCTGTGCCAGCTCTTGCAGACTCTCCCCTTTAGCACGGACTCTAGTCCTAAACCTAGCTCTGTAGACTTCAAACTGATTTTGAGTTTCATACCTGAGTTCTAGAGCAGCTACCAGTGCTCTATAGTTGTGACTGCCGTCTGCTGACAACTGTCGAAGTATTTCCAGTGGTTGTCCCTTCAGGCTTCTTGCCAAGTACGCTGCCCTCTGCACCTCTGTCCATCCATTCATTTCTGCCAGGAGCTCTAATTGTGCTCTATATGCTTCCCATGGTGCCTTCCCATCGAATTCCTGTGGCTTTCTTCGTACTAAATCACCCCTATTACTGACACTCATGTCTGGAATGTGACTTCTGGCAGGACTGAAGATGTCTGCATTAGGGTTTGGCTGCGGGGTCTAGAAGGGGTTTCCTGTTGTCTGGGGCTGATTAGGCCCATGGCTAATATATACTCCCTGTGTAAAAGACAGTAAATTGTCCTTTAATGTATTTAACTCACTTTGAAATTTACTGATATTTTCTATTTGTGTATGCTGGCTTTCTCTCAACTGTTGGAGAATTGCTTCTTGTTTATTTTCTTTCTCCTCCAACCACCGCTGTAGTCTCTCTCTTGTTTATTTTGCTGTTCGAGCTGCCACTGTTGCAGGTTTTCTTGCAACTGCTATTGTCTCTCTTCTTGTTTCTTTTCTTTTTCCTCCAACAACTCCTGTAATCTCTCTTCTTGTTTCTTTTGCTGCTCTTGTATTGCTGCCATAAAATCTGCTAAGTCGTAGTGTGATTTGCCACTTCTCGTTTCCATCTTTTTTTTTTTTTCCATCCCACTCTCTGACACCAATTTGTTACATATCTCCTCGTTTGTTAATTTACGGTAGAAATTCTTTCTGAGGAACTTCAGCAATACAAATCCTTTCTTGATTGAACAAGTTTATTCTTTCTTGATACAAACTTTTGGTACACAGTAATTCCACAGTCAATACATCTCTTTCACTTTAAACTTAACTACTTTTATAATACACGCTATAAATCACAGTGATTCACAATCTCGATAACAAAACACACACTAGCTCAAAACAGAATCGTAAATTACCCAGAACTCTCTTCATTCATTCAATCTCGCAGGCTTTCTCTGCCAGGCTTATATACTAAAAAAAAAGAGGGCATCTCGAACGCACTAGGAAATACATGATCATTTGAGAAATTTCACCTGCGCTACTAGCGCCAAACGCACCAGCAGCATCACGTGACTTCCACTGTCTTAACAATATACATCCAACACTATAAGAAGACTAGTTCTGTTCATTTAATTTGCCCTTGTCTAGATTTCCTGATGAGAGGTGGAATTTTCAGAAACTAGTATAACTCAGTGACAAGTGGCAAATCATATAATAAATTGGACTTCATATTTATTTTGGTATTTTAAGCAGCCTGTCTGCTGAATAATTGAGAAGAATAACTTAGTAGCATTAATGCCGTGTATTCCTAAAATCCCACATAAATATTTATAGGTTCACTGTGATGAGTAAAAGTCAACTCAAAACAGTACACACATAATGTATACTCCACCACAAAAAGGTACTTGACTTGTTCTTTTGATTTGTCCTTGTCCAAGGCTACTGATCAGGGTGGTATTTCCTAAAACCTTTATAATTTAGTAACAAGTGGTTAACTGAATGATAGAATGGGCTTCATATTTATTTTTAGTATTTTAAACAGTTTGTCTGCTGAATAATTCAGAAGAATAAATTAGTAGCATCAATGCTACATATTCTTCACATCCTATGTAAATGTAGGTTTACTGTGGTGAGTAAAAGACATTTCAAAACCCTGCTCAGAACATACTAAATATAAAAACAGCATACTTCATTTTGAGTTATAGAAAATAAAAATATTAAATAGAAATTTTGAATTCACATGTTGTTTCCCTTACTTTTACATACTCCTGGTTAATAGAACTGAAATGGTATCCTGAAAGCTGCTGAATGCCAGCTTCACTTGCATCAGGTGTCTGTAGAATTGACATAAAGTGATTGTAGCTGTCTCTGCACCACTCTCTGTTAAAAATGAAACAAAAGTTTAAAAAAATCCAAATAAAGTTAAACTGTTTTCTTTAATGAATATTTTATCATACTTAACTCTAGAACATGCAGTTTAAGTAAGTGGATCATGGAAACAAATTTGTAATGGACCTGATTATAAATATGCAATTTTGCTGAGCATTCCAACATGTTCAGAATGATTAATTAATAAAAGTAGTTATTCTGAAAATGAAGAACATACATTTTGTCATTGGACCTCTGTACGGATAGGGTCAATAAAATAATATCTATTACCATCCTAAAAACATTGGATATTTAAGATCAAAGCTGTAGGAAGCAGTAAGGCCATGGCCTGTATAGCTACATCTTATGTATTGAAATTTGCTTCTTTTAATTCAATACATTACATTGTGTGTATGCAGTATTTGCAGTTAAAATGGCTAGATTCAATCTCATAGCATTAAAGTTTCAAAATTTTTTGGGAGGCATGCCACCACACCCCTCTAGAAATGACAACGTGGCATTGGCCTGATCATTCCCAAATTGCTTCCTATGGAAATTAAGACTCAAGCATATTGAACAGAATGACCATTAAAAGGTTTTCTAGTTTTCAGGTACTCTGTATGTAATCTTATTTATCTTGCTTTCAATGTATGCTCAAATGTTTGAAAATGTTAAAAAACATACAAGTTCTCAATATTTCAACCAAATTTTTACCTATTTGATATTTGCTGTGTGTTAGTGAGAGGAATTTTCAAAGTTCCCAATGCTGCTACTAACCTCAATTAACTAATTCTACTATAAAGCCAAAGAAACTTAGAATAATTAGGCATTGTGCTGTGAGGAGAAATTTAAGACAGCCCATAGCCCTAACTTTAATAATTTAATGCTCTTTATTTTGCTGTGAAATATTTAATGTAGTCATACGAGATAGGCAGAAATAATAACTGAATTATTTGAGTTAGTCATGGCCTAAGGGTTTAGGAGCTCTAAATGCTACTTAATAAAAAATGCTGTCTTTTTTTAGTGATACACGTGATATGTTTTGTATAGTATTGAAACAAGTGTATTAGATGGTTTAATACTATTAAGAGAAATAATGCTTTAGTATTATGTAGTGAACAGGTTTAAGATACGAATCATTGCAACATTTATGACAGAGATATTATGAACAGATATCCCATCCCAAAATAACTATAGTAAGTCAACATGGAGAATAAGCTACCTAGGAGTGTGAGCAATAGGGGAGTAAAGCTGAAGAAGATATGCAAATAAAAGAACTGAATGTAAGTTACCAAATTTTCCAAACTATGCCATATTATTTTATTTGTAGTTTAATAAAGTTGACTTAATTGGTTAATGGGCCCAAAGACATTAATTGTTCTGGAATCTAGTTAAGATTTTGTTAAGAATATATGATTGAAACATGAAGTAAACAAGATAAACAACTTTTAGGCAATAATTCAGTTGAGAGGGTAAATACATAGATAAAGTTACTAAAATCAGTTAATCTGTGCTTGGAAAGAACTTTAGATACCTGCTATAGCTTTAATCTAATAATATTCTGCTCCAACATACATTGTAGGCTTAAAGTATCCTTCAGTCTTATTCAATTGAAAATAAAAATGAATAAAAACCCTATAACCCAAGTGCTTTGAAAAGGTGGACCTTTCAAAAGCGCTAGGGTTATAGGGTTTTTTATTCATTTCTATCGAGACTTCTTGAACCTACGTGTTTTTCTAACATCACAATTGAAAATAAAGATGTTAACAATGCTGAATGTCATCTTAATAATTAGGACCCCTTAAACTAATGTAGTTCAAAGACATCTTGATACTGAATCAACAATTAAGATATTCTCTTTTGATGCTTCCTTGCACTTAAACTAAATCGTCTACAAAATGATCATCTACTTTAACCACAGCTTCTTATTTCAAGGAAGTAATTAGAGCTTTATTTAGATTTCTATAGTTGCTAGGCCTGACCTGCAACCTAACGGTTTTTACATCTGATCTTTATATGAAACAATCTCTGGTCATATTCTCTCAAACTTTCATGGGTGTGATTTATAAAGCATCAGATATTACTAACTAATTCAAGGAACAGTATCTCCTTTCTTTTCTTAATTTTCAATGCATCTGTGCTCTATAAATATGATTTTGTTTGTATGATTCAAATCTCTCTCTCTCTCTCTTAAAGTTCATAGGATCTAATTCATAAAAAAAAATTAAAATGCAAAGGTAGAATCCCTCTGCATTTGCAATGCTGTATCACATGGCTTCTAACAGCATGCATAGAAAAGAAGATATTTGAATTTCTGAAGAAACATCTTGTTTAAATTCTACAGTCCTACTATTTTCATACTGAAAATACAGCCAAGACTGAACCAGCAACACAGTATAATGCTGATATTTTGTACTAATACTAATGGTTGTATGAACCAATTTTGTAAGAAGGACCTTTCAGTTTTCTATCACTATTTGTAAATAATTCCTCCCCAAATTACCACAGAATAACTGACATAGAACTTTTACATGTTCACTACTTAACAACTTATGTAGTGATACTAACACTATACTACATGTGTCTACAAACCCCTTATTTGCAATTACAAAGTTTCTACTTGAGTACATAAGTCTGCCAACAAATTTGCCAGTCCACAATCAAATCTAAGGCACAATTACCCTTAATTATATATAACTAGACACTCAATCTAACATATGAATGACTGTAAAAAAAAACTTCTAAATTATATCCAAACTACAAGTCCCATTTTTGCAGTGTTTCACATAATGAACCAACTAATAATAGATCATAGTCAATTCAAATGAAGACTGCATGTTGTTCAGGTAAAATCATGTGAACAACATGCAGTCTTCATTTAAATTATACATTTTTTAAAATGTTCGTGTTACTGATTTTACCTCAACAACATGCAGTCTTCATTTAAATTATACATTTTTTAATATGTTTGTATTACTGCTTTTACCTGAACAATATGCAGTTATCATTTAAATTATACATTTTTTAATATGTTCATATTACTGATTTTACCTGAACAACATGCAGTCTTCGTTTAAATTATACATTTTTTAATATATTCATAGTCAATTCATTTTTATATCTCAGTATTGGTTTTATTATTCAATTATTTTAATTCATTATTTGTTTATCTATTTTTATTTAGTACTGACCTACCTTAAATTTACTTTTGTGCATTGATGTAAACAAAGTGTATCTGTACTTGTTCAGTTTGATTTCCTCTCAAACAGTAATCACTTTTTCATTCATCAATCAATTCCTCAATTTTCATGTTCCATGAGCCTGTTACTTTTAGTCCAGAAATGCCATAGCCAAAAGTCAACAGACATTTTCTGGTACATGATTAGGATTGGATTTTATGTAAGTCAATTGACTTGTGTTTGCATCTCCTCATAATCTGTGGCAGAGAGGAGGAGATCTGTGCCAATCCTTACACAAGGTTGAGGACCAAGTTGGACTCAGAGAATTTTAGGATTAAATATAAAATTTTCACCAGCATTCCAATAGCTCTACCCCTCCAAAAAAAAAGGTTACTAACTGTTCATAAACTGAGGAAAATGAACTGCAACCTAATTCCTCCTGAGTTACTAATAATGTGAGTCATCTTTACCAGATGACATAATGGGAAAAGATTATAACTGAAAGTTACCATCAAGAGCAACTAAACTTGAGCCTTTATGAGAGTGTCTTTATAGAGAAGTTATTGTATGCACCATGATGGATGGCACCAAGAAATGACATATGTTTGGTGGAAGAGCTGTCACTGCTAGCGGCCTTCCTGTCATTAGGAAATGAAATCACCAGGAATTTCCTTAAGAAAATGTAATATTTAGTACATTTATAAAGGTTTTGAAAAGTACAGAAATGTTTACAAGAGGATCAATACACTTTACTAAGAAATGTTACCTGCAAGTACTCATTTATACAGTCATGCCTCAAAATAATTCCAGTTGTCACTTCAGTTTTGCATAGTCTATACTCATGAAGGAATATCCAAAATATTGAAGGATGATTAGATAACATTCATTCATTCTAGTTGCCTTTCCCTGCCTTCAATTAAAGCTAAACAATTGATGATGTCATAGTAAACCTGCAGTTTTCCTTCTAATTTTGTGATTGGTCAGAACTTAGATTCTTATTTACATAAATTACGTTTCACATTGGGTATTGTAAATTACCAAAAATATGGCTAATTAGGATATTAATAAAAATAACCTTTGACCCCTGCTGAAAAGGAACAATTAAACTTCACTTATTGATAGACCACAAAAGATCTAAATGTATATGAGTAAAATGTTGAACTAACATTAACTCTTACAAAAAATTGGACAAAATCTTCAAGCATAACATTAAAACAAATGGCAGGCTTGCCAGATAACTCTATTCACAATAAGAGTAAAACTGGTTTCTCCCCCACCTTCTCATATTACAAACAAATGCCTTCAAAACACTTTGAAGCAAATTGTAGAAGGTGTAAAAGTTTTTATTTTTTTCTTCTTAATGAAACTTCTGGTCTCCACATCTCCCATGCAGTGTGTGATGATAACCAAAATATCCAAGAGCTCTCCCATGAGGATAGTAAAATCAGAGAAACTGTAAATTGACTGAAGATACTGGTTTGAATAGAGCTTTACAGTAGATGTCTGTAACTTGTTGTTGATAAATTTCAACAATAAATGGACAGCACACAATCCACTCATTTTAAAATAATGTACTCAAAATGAGTTCAACATATGTACAGAAAAGTTCTTTACACTATAGATTGAATCTAGAGCTTCAAATAATTCACTTTTTTTGTCAAAAGTCCACACATGCTTGTTCAGTTACTTTAAAACCCAACTAACAAGACAAATTATTTCTTTTCTCCTCTCTTATCACAATACAATCAGTGATAAATTCACTTACATTACCCCATGTGTTACCACAGTTGTATCCAGAGCTTTAAATAATTCTCTTTTATGTCAAAAGTCCAC